GCGTCGACCGCTTCCGCAAGATCGCGCCGGCGCTTCTGCTCTTCCTCGTCGAGCGCCGCGCGCTGGGCCGTGGGCTCGCCGATCGTCTCGCCGCGGGCCGCCGCGATGGCGGGCACGTTCTTCGCGAGCGACCGCTTCTCCTCCTTCAAGATCTTGAGCGCGTGCAGCAGCTGGTCCTCGAGGAACGCGATGTTCTCCGGCGAGCCCTTGCTCCCGATCGACGCGTCCTTCTCGGAGGTCCAGGACTTGGGCTTCAGGTCCACGTGGCCCATGCCCGAGTAGATGCGGCTGATCTGGGCCTTGAGGTAGTCGTGCTGCTTGCCCTTGCTCAGGTTCTCCAACGCGGCCGAGACCAGGCGCCGAGCGCCCGCCGGCGTGGTCCGCGACAGGTCCGCGTCCGCGACGACGGGCTCGACATCGTAGCTCGACGCCGCCTTGGCGTACTTGTCCGCCACCGCGGCGCGCGCCTTCTCCTGGGCCGCCTTTGTCTTCTCCCGCTGGAGCTCGCGGCCCTTGGCCTCGCGAGCTTTGCACTCCGCGCGTCGCGCGGGGCCGCGGCGCCGGCTCTCCTTGACCGCGGCGGCGCGCTCGCGCTCGGTCATTGTGGTGTAGGCCCGCCCCTGGGGCGCCGCCTTCGGCTTCTTCATCACGGGCTCGGGGCGCGGCTGGCCCGCGCGTTTCCGCGGCCGGCTCTTCCGCTGCCCGACGTACTTGCCCGCCGAGCGGCCGTGGATGTGGTTCACCTTGGCGCACGCGATGTCCGCCGCGAGCGACGACGGGAGGTTGTCGAAGATGCGCTTGTAGGCCTTCATCACGGCGAAGAGCGACTCGAGCCGGTTCGTCGTCCGCCAGACGCCCTTGAACGCGGCCTTGGTCGCGCGCGTCGGCTTCGCCAGGTCGCCGTCGCCGAGGCGCCGCGTCGCCTCGCCCCCGAGCATCGTCCCCTTGACGCCCTCGAGGAGAGCCTCCAAAAAATCCATCATCTCCTCCTGCGCGTCGATGTTCGTCTGGTCCTTGGGCGTGAAGATCTCCGCGCGCTGCTCCGCGACGCCCTTCCTGGCGAGGTAGCGCCTGCGCCACTCCCGGTACGCCGGCACGTTCATCAAGACCGCGTAGGGGTCCCAGTCGGGGTTCAGCCAGGTCTGCGGCCACTGCGACCGCGGGATCTGGCACGCCGCGAGCGTCGCCTCGTGGACCTTGCACATGTCCGTCAGGTCCCAGTCCAGCTCCTCCGACGCCGCAAAGAATGTCCAGGGCTGCGTGAAGCGCTCGTCCAAGAGCGTGCGCGCGTAGAGCCCCGCGACGATGGGCTTCGAGCTGAGCTCCATCGCGAGGTGCGACCGGAGCAAGTTCTCGCTCTTCTCCGCGTTCTGGCGCAGGCAGCGCACGATCTCCGGCCGGAGCCACCAGACCCGCCGCGCCGAGGTCGTCAAGTCGTCCTGGCGGACGCCGCGGTCCGTCCTCTTGAACGCGGGCATGTACTTGCCCTTGCACTCCGCGGCGACGAAGGGCAGCCAGTCGGTCTCCACGAGCGTCTTCCCGTAGAGGTTCTGGCCCGTGCCGAAGGCCTTGGCGACGGCGCGGCAGATGACCGTCAGGTCGAGCGTGGGCCGCTGGTCGGCGGGCATCGCCGCGATCTTGTCCGCGTACAGCGACTCGAGGAGCTTCTTCTCCTTCTTGACGGCGCCGTCGAGGAACGTGTTGTGCAAGTGGCGCTCGCAGGTGCCCCAGAACGTAGCCGTCGCCTCGAGGATCGCAGCGGGCGTCATCTTCTCGACCACGTCGGGGCCCAGCTTGGCGACGACGGCCCGCTGGACGAGCACGCCGATCTCCCGGGACGTCGCCGTCGCCGTCGACGCGTTGTCGGACATGGCGACAGAGCCCACCAGCCGCGTGATCTCGACCATCGACGGGTCCGCCACGTCCTTGGCGGCGTCGTCGCCGAACTCGACCGCGACGGCCTGCTTGAAGGACTCGGCCGCTGCCGCGAGCTTGTCGTAGACCTCCTCCTTGATGGCCTGGGCCTCGCCCTTGGCCGTCTTGTCGAGGACCTGGTGGATGCCGAGCGCCCAGTCCTCGAGGAAGCCGTCCTGGTTCTCGAGCCGCGCGACGTTCCCGCAGAAGTCGTCGCCGTCGATCGGCGACCCGTCGGCGCCGTGGCACGCGACGCGCTTCGCCTTGCCCAGGGCCTGCGCCGTGATGATGTCGTTGAGCGGGCCGACCTCGTAGCGCATGCGCTTGATGCACTCGGCGCTCGGGAGCCGCATCTTCAGGAGGGCCGCGGGGTGGCTCTTCCCCAGGATCGCGTCCGCGACCGCCGCGATGATGTCGCCCATCTCGGCCGGGAAGACGTTCTTCGTGAGCAGGTTGTGGACCAGCAGGCGCGTGTCGACGTCGAAGGGCATGCCCCGGGAGCTCTCGACGCCCGGGACCCAGGGCTGGGCCTGCGACGGCTCCGCGGCGGCCGCCGACGCCTCGTTCTTGGAGATCTCCTTGTCCAGCTCGACGGCGAGCTTCTTGGACTCGCGGTTCGCGTCGGCGCGCTGCTTCTGGGCCTTCTTGAGGTCGCTGGGCTTCGGCGCCATCGCGAGCTTGTGCTCCGCGAGGAGCCGCGCGCGGACGGCGTCGACCTGGGCAGGAAAAGGGTGTGAAATTCCGAACTTCAAAGGCTCCTATCTCGGTCGGTTTGCGCTCGTTTCGGCTGATTTTTGGACGAGCGATCATCTCTCGGAGCGCTCTCGAAGCGTGGGTGCTGTTTCCGAAACGCGCGCGCGCGAAACACTCACGTTGAAGCGACGTTGAATCACCCTTTTCCTGCCCTGGCGTCGACGGCGTCCTTCACGGCCACCACGCGCGCGCGCTCCTTCTCCCGGACCTGCTCCTCCAACGCCGCGATGACGCCCTCGAGTCGCGACTTCTCCGCGGCCTTGAGCTCGGGGATGCACTTCTCCACGCGCTCCTGGACCTCCTTCTCGAAGCGCCGCTCGAGCGACTCCTTCGACTTGATCGCCTTCTCCTCGGAGCGCCGCGCGGCGGCCGCGCGCTTCTCCGCCGTGTTCGCGCGCTTTGTCTCGCGCTCCGCAACGTTGGTGATGTCGCAGATCCGCGGCTTCTTCGACCGCGCGACGGCCGGCGTCGCGTCGGAGGGCTTCGAGTCCTCGAGCGCCTGCTGGAGGAGGCCCGCGTGGTCCGCGAAGAGGCGCGCGACGGCGGGCTGCAGGTAGTTGCGCCGCAGCGACGCGCCCTTCTTGAGGGACTTGCCGCCGGGGCCCATGAGCGCCTTCGCCCCGTCGTAGAGGTGGAACGCGTACCTCCTCACGTGGTACGGGTCGATCGGCACGGAGGCCTTGCCCGGCAGGTCGACGACGGCCGCCGCCTTGGCGACCGCGCAGGCGCGCGGCCAGGTAATATTCGACGTCAAGTCCCTGAAGTAGCCGGGCACCCACTGCCGCTCGCCTTGCCAGGACTGCGGCGGGCGGAACGGCAGGTCGACGGCGGCGGCGGCCGCGTCCGCGAGCACGGCGTCCTGCCACTCCTTGGCGCGGCACTGCAGCGTCGCCGAGGCAACCAGGAGCGCGAGGATGAGCCGCTCCGTGTCCGTGCCCACGACGTCGCCCTTCGTCCAGAAAATATGCCCTCCCTCAGCCCCATTTGCCTACACGCGGTGGACGGATGGGTTCCCGTCGGTTCCGGCGCCCCCGGGCGCCCGAGGCGCGCCCGATCCACCCCGACCACCCCGGGAGTCGATTGACCCGATCCCCGACCGCGCCCCACCGCCCAGACGCGCGCGCGCACCATGTCCTCTCGCGGCGCGGACCAAGTCCAAACGGGATCCAGTCAACAGCCGCAGCGGGCTGCGTATCTGTCCGATCTCTCTCGCAAGGATACGGGCGAAACCCACGCTCTCCCAATTCGAACGATTGATTGCGACGCCGGAATTTTGCCGACGCGAACGCCTCTCCGCACCGCAGCCCATGTCTGTTTCGTCGAGCTCGGCCTTTGATTCGTGTGTCCGGCGTTGAAGCCTTCACGGTTTCGAGGTGCAGTCTTCAACTCGAGCCACTTTGTTTCGCCCTACCATCACACTGGCGAACTTTGTTGGGTGCTGAATTTTTACCCTGCCCACGCCACTGGAAAATCGACGATTTTGGGCACCTCGACCGCGGACCCCCTGCTTGTCTCATCGTGATGGACGTTTATCTGGGGCTCCGGAACCGCAGCCGATCATGCTAGGTCATCGATTGGCACAAGTTATGGCCGAAAATATCGGTTTTTGGAGATTTCCGGCGTGCGCGAGCGCCACGTACGCGTGTCCACCCGACGGCGGCGGGTGCCACGCACGTCCACGCTAGCCCAGGGAGTCCACCCGGGCCCCAGGCGGTCGCGCGGGGCGCCGAAGCGAGTATATACGGCCGTATACGACGCGTTTGTACTGGTTTAGTACGGCTAGGGTGTACTGGCGAGGCACCAACGGCAGGAAAACAGGCGCGCAGAGCACCGTTTCGACGGCCGAGCGTCTTCTGGAGTCGAGACAAGATGTCTCGACGCAACGCCAGCGCCAGTTCGCGTTCGTGGGCGCGTCGTCGCTGTAGACCGTGTTGGTGTCGTTTTCGAGGCGCTGGCAGGAGGCGCCCAAGCTGTTGCTGTCGAGTGCCGCGTTCACCTGACGCGCGGGCCAGCGGAGCCCCGGTGATCGGTCGTGAGAGGGTATCGGAACCGCTCTGGACGTCCAGGGGCGTCGCGGCGCCGCACACTGGCTCGTTTTGACCGCCGCCAATCGATGAGAATCGAGGAATCGAGGCCGTAGGGTGGTCCGACGGTGGAGCTGTCCGGGTTTCGCGAGACATGTTCTTCGTAGCAACCCTCTCCGCACTCCCTCCGGAGAAACCCGGACAGCTAGGTCCGGAACACGTCCAACACGCGCCAGCCGTCTCGAGAGAACGCTCCGACGAGGCCGTTGCGTTTTCGACGACGCCCGGACCGTTTCGCGCGCGGCGTCTTCGCAGTGGTCTGGCCACGCACGGTCCCGAGGCACATGCGGGAGCGCGCGGCCCCACTCCCCGGGGGCGCCGCGCACGCGCTGTCGCGGCGGCCGCTCTCCGAGCCGCTCGAGGGCCTCACCCAAAGTCAAGTTTGACCGGGTGGGCAGGGAAAATTGCTGCGCA